TGCCCCATCTCCCCCGGTCGCAGATGGCAGGCCCGGATCCTGAGCTGAGTCAGGTGGCTGCTCAGATAGTGCTGCTGCCCGCCCCGCCCCACACATGACAGGCCCAGATCCCAGGCTAGGGCAGACAGTGGCTGGGGATCTCACTGCCGCCTGCCCCACCCCACACATGGCAGGCCAGGATCTTGCACTGGGGCAGCCAGCAGCTAGGGATCGCGCTGCCACCAGCCCCAGGATTTGCCTGCAGTATGCAAATTAGCCACCATCTTTGTTGGTGTTTAATTTGCATATCACGCTGATTAGCCCATGGGAGGCATAGCGAAGGTATGGTCAATTACCATCTTTGTCTATTATTAGATAGGACTAGAGGCCTGGTGCATGACATTTGGGTAATGGGGTGGGGGTCCCCTTAGCCCAGCCTGTGCCCTCTTAAATAGTCTGGGACCCCAAGGGTTCCTTAGTGCTGCCACAGAGGTGAGAGAGGTTCCTGCCACCGCCGCTGCGCTTGCCAGCATGAGCCCGGATTCTGGCTGAGCAGCACTCCCGCTGTGGGAGCGCACTGACCATCAGGGGGCAGCTCCTGCGTTGAGCATCTGTCCCCTGGTGGTCAGTGTGCATCATAGCGACCAGTTGTTCCACTTCAGTTGATTTACATATTAGCCTTTTATTACATAGGATTTTTCTGTACTGTTTATAAACATGTATTTATAGCTTTATAATTTAGAAAATGATTATGCTCTTCCCAAAATGTCTCAGTGCAAAGGTCAACAAGATGCACTGCATTCACAATAAAATTCCTTAATAGAACACTGTACTTTTTTAAGTCTTTCAGATTTTAAAGGCTCATGCTTTTTTATCTCTTTCAATTCTGTAATCTATGCTCAAAATCAAATTACAAACTTTCTGAAGTAAGTCAAGGACAGAAATATACTCAACCTATAGTTCAAATAAATTCATCAAAGTGAATTAACATTTCCAAGTATGTAATGAACTGATTTAAGGACTAAAGCCCACTGCCTAAATTGTGATATGGATTAGATTTTTTTGTTAATAGATTCAGACTTGAAATCATAAACTTTTCAGATACAGCTACAAAATCATTATTCATCAATGATTAATTCATCAACAAAACCAGTGGGGTTTTTTTCCAGGCAGAATAGTTTAACTTTGCAACTGATACATCTATCACAAATTGTTTAATAAACTGTACTACAAATGTTTTCTAACTTTGTAAACTATTTTAAGTTATTTATTCTTCTTGTTATTAAGCATCCTGGCATCAAAACAGTTATCTATGTTAACTGCATCATAAATTAGTTAAAAATATTTCTAAGTACATTACTGAGGAAGTTCCTGAAGAGCTGCTTCTATTAACTTTAGGAGCAAGACTCTATCTAGACAGTATTCTAAGAACAGAGGATAGAAGAAATAGCTAAAAATCACCTTAAGAGTCATTCTTTCATTTGATCAATAAATGAGCAGCTTTGGAGAAAATAGAGGTGAATGGGGCTAACACATAAACGTTAAGAACTGAGCCTTAAATAGGATTTTGAATGTTGTAAAGAACAGTTTGAAGCAAAGAGAAAACACTAGGGAAATTTCAATTACTTATGAATGAATAAACAAATGTACTCCAAGTTGCATTAATTCAGCAATTGTCTCACCTTAGCTTAGAGGAAAAAAGCTCTTGGCTTACCAGAGACCAAAGAAATGAGACAGAGGAGACTTTCAAGTTCCTGTTTACACTAAGGTTCAGATAAGAATGAATCTGACACAAGTACAATGTGCAAATTTCCTTCCTTCTAACAGAATCCTCCTAATCACAGACTAGTACATGAATAGACATGTGACCCAAGGTTGCCCCTCCCTATGATGTTTTTGTTCTATGTATATGAAAGGGAAGATGGAAAAGAACTGGGAGGGCAAGAGGGAATGAGTGGCTCCAACGAAATTATTTGGGCCACAGGATCTGATCATGTCCAAACTGAGGTCAATGGTTCCTAACCTCCCTGGGTGTAGACCAGTGATGGCGAACCTATGACACGTGTGTCAGAGGTGACAAGCGAACTCATTTTTTTGGTTGATTTTTCTTTGTTAAATGGCATTTAAATATATAAAATAAATATCAAAAATATAAGTCTTTGTTTTACTATGGTTGCAAATATCAAAAAAATTTCATAATGTGACATGGCACCAGAGATAAGTTAGGGTTTTTCAAAATGCTGACACGCCGAGCTCAAAAGGTTCGCCATCACTGGTGTAGACAAATGGGTCAATCTGAGATACTGATAGGACAAACATTCAAGAGGAAGTGCATGAAGATAGCCATCGTGTTCACCACCTCCACCACATTATACTTTAAAAAAATACATGTTTTTATTGATTTCAGAGAGGAGGGGGAGAGGGAGAGAGCGATAGAAACATCAGTGATGAGAGAGAATCATTGATCAGCTGCCTCTAGCAGGCCCCACACTGGGGATTGAGCCCACAACCTAGGCATGTGCCCTGACCAGGAATTGAACTGCAACCTACTGGTTCATAGGTCGATGCTCAACCACTGAGCCACGCTGGCAGGGCTATCCTTTTTAGAAGAGGCAAAACATGTAAACCATGAACACACATATAATAATATAGACATCTGTTGGCAAACTAGAACAGGGGTGGGGAATGTCCGACTCTCTGGCCATATAAGGCCTGCAAAATCATTTGGTCTGGCCCTGCCAAGGCATTAGGGGTGAGTTAATTAAATGCTTGACCAAATAAAAGCAGGCTAATTTTTAAGTTGTTAATTTTGTATGGGCCGAGAATGATGTTATAAATATTCAAACGGCCCTTGGCAGAAAAATGGTTCCCCAATCCTGATCTAGAAGAATAACAATAGTTATACTTAAAATTAGATTTTGATAGTTTGATAAGTAAATACTACTTTAGAAGCAGAAAAGCTTTTTAAATGCTTTTTTATTACAAAACAAACTGGTAAAAACCTTGTTAATGTTTATAAAATAAAAAACAGGTTACATAATTAGAAGTATTTTATTTGAAGTAGATGTTATTTATCAAACATCAAACAAAAGTTAAATTTTGTTTCTCAATGGTCTTTTTCATGCTGTACAAGCATAAAATAACAGTATTTTCCTAGAAGACTGACCAGGGTACTTTCCCCAAAGCATAAAGATGTTCCTATTAACTATCTATAATAATAAAAGCATAATATGCTAATTGGACTGGACAACCGAACGACCTTCCAACGTCATTCTGGACGAAGCTGCAGCAGTAGGGGCCAAGGCAGAGGCAGTTAGGGGCGATCAGGCAGGTAGGCAGAGTGGTTAGGGGTGATCAGGCAGGCAGGCAAGTGGTTAGGAGCGATCAGACAGGCAGGCAGACAAGTGGTCAGGGGCGATAGGGCAGGCAGGTGAGTGGTTAGGGACAATCAGGCGAGTGGTTAGGGGCAGGCAGACAGGCAGAGGGGTTAGGGGAGATCAGGCAGGCAGGTGAGCAGTTAGGGGCGATCAGGCAGGCAGGTGAGTGGTTAGGGGTGATCAGGCAGGCAGGTGAATGGTTAGGGGCGATCAGGCAGTCAGGCAGGCACTTAGGAGCCAGTGCTCCCGGATTGTGAGAGGGATGTCCAACCGCAGGTTTAGACCCGATGCGGGATCGAGCCTAAACCAGTAGTCAGGCATCCCCCAAGGGTCCCAGATTGAGAGAGGGTGCAGGCCGGGCTAAAGGTCCCCTCTACCCCGTGCACGATTTTTATGCACCAGGCCTCTAGTCTATAATCATAAAAGCATAATGTACTAATTAGACCAGATGTCCTTCCAGACAACCTTCTGGATGACCTTCCAGATGAAGCTGGGGCAGCAAGGGATGCCTGGGTCCCGGGTGCCAGAGGGAAGCCCAGGTCCCGGGTGCCAGAGGGAAGCTGGTGTCTGCAGCCGGGGGAAGGAAGGCCTACTCTTGCATGAATTTCGTGCATCAGGCCTCTAGTACATGAATAAAAGAAGTGCTCTATGTACCAAAACAAGTACTAGATATAAAAGTGATCTAAGCACAAAAGGTAATACACTAAGCTATCAACCTCAGCAATCCTCTTGCAAGAAGAAGTCACTACTTCATGTTAATACTAATAATAAAAAAAGGAAATAAATTAATTTGCTGTATTTTATAGAGTCAATAAAGTAATTTACACATTCAGTGAAACAAATTCATCTTGAAAAGGAAAAAGTCAAAAGTCCAAAATCTCCATGTCTTACCAGTGATGTTGATAATTCAGTAGCATGCTTTTTTTCAAGAATTCTAACTTTTGTTTGTCTTCAGCTTTCTCTGTATGGTATGTTTTTGTACAAACAAGCTTACAGGTCTCCTTCTTATTAAATGTAAACTGTATTAAAATAAAATGGAAAGCAAATTAAGTAAAAATAGCCAGATCCTTCACACCTATATCATAAAGTACTAGTCTCATTAGTTAAGTGCATTAATATATTTATAACAAACATTTTAAAATTTGTCATAGCTCAATCAGATTTAAAGTCACTCTTATTGTTTTTCCAAAACTTATCATCTAACCAATTTCACTCCAATAAATTCAATTAACATTTTTTAAAAATTAGAAAAAATAAGCCCAGCTGGCATGCCTCAATGGTTGACTGTCGACCTATGAACCAGGAGGTCATGGTTTGATTCCCATGCCTAGTTGTGGGCTCAATCTCCAGTGTGGGACGTGCAGGAGGCAACCAATCAATGATTCTCTCATCACTGATGTTTCTCTCTCTCCCCCCCTCTTTTCCTCTTTATTTTGGTAAGTAACAGTTTTTATTTTTATTTTTGATCATTTCAATCAATCCACCTTTTAAATATAAACAAGTCCTAGAAGGCAAAAAACAAACAAACAAAATGAAACAAACAAAAAAAAACTACATGTAGAAGAAACTGAACATCAGTCTCTCCAGAGTAATGTCTCCTGACAATGTTTTTGGAAATTACGGATTTGCAGGCTTTCTAGTAACAAGCAGACAAGTGTTTATGTCCCTATATTCATTTAATGGATGTTTGTTACCCCCCTTGTAGCTAGGTAATGGAGATTCAGCAGTGAATAGCATGGACTGTGATGTTACAAGTTACATTTGGATGTCTAAAATCAGGGTAAACATGATTTTTTTATCACATTTGAAATTGTCAACTTTCAGGACAATAATAAAACTGAAACAAATAGTAAGGTTGAAAAAATCGATAATTTTTTAAACCAAAGTTTAAAAACTAAAGATTCCTCCAATTCGGGGGTCTAGAATTTTTTTCATGTGTGTAAAAATAATGACATTCACAACCCATTATAAAATGTAGGTTTATTTTATCAAGACATTATTTATGTCTTAATTTAAAAAAAAAATACTTCCTGGTAGTCTAAGGCTGTAATTTATCAAATTACATATATATAGCCCCTAATTGTGTACCTTTTAATAAATTTGACTTCAAAAACACCTGCACATGTGTCACTTCTAAGTAGTCCATCCTTTTGTACATCATTTATTAAAATGCCTAAACCAGTTTCTGTGCATCCGCTGACAAATAAATGTTCCAAATGTGGCCCACTGCTGCCACCTGTCAGCCAAGAGTTTCGCTCTGGACGTATTGCCATTTCTGTAAGTACAGCAATATTTATGCAATTATTTAATATTTTTAACATTATATAAACCTTTAGTTTCTTTTTAAAGGGTGGAGGTTTAAAAACAACTAAAGGATTAGAGAAATAGGTATCATACTTAAATTAAGCAGAAATAGACATGTTACATGAAAAGTGGCAAATCTTACACCTCAATCCAATGTCACTGGATTTAGGCAAGTCAATTGTGTGTTCAATTGTGAAAGAAAACAGCACACCTGAAAATGACATTTAATCATAATAATAAACACTTATTACCTCATGTAATCCAACAATTCTAAAATGAAGTCTCCTTACTGAATCCTCATCATCCTGATCCATCAACATGGAGAGCCCGAAAGCTCAGTCATTGGGATTCTTCTCTTCACTATCAATACCTACTCTCTTGGAAATTTTATCAAGACCTGTTTTTGTTTTTTTTTTAATATATTTTATTGATTTTTTTACAGAGAGGAAGGGAGAGAGATAGAGTTAGAAACATCGATGAGAGAGAAACATCCATCAGCTGCCTCCTGCACATCTCCTATTGGGGATGTGCCCGCAACCCAGGTACATGCCCTTGACCAGAATCGAACCTGGGACCTTTCAGTCCGCAGGCCGACGCTCTATCCACTGAGCCAAACCGGTTTCGGCAAGTCCTGGTTTTAAATACCATCTATATACTGATGATTTTCAAATATATGTACTATCCTGAACCCCCTCCTCCAAAATCCAGACACATATATTCAACTGTCAACATCCCTACTTACCATGTCCAAAACTAACTCTTCCTCATTCCCCCCAAACCTGCTCTTTCCACAGACATTCCCATCCATACCCAACATCACATCCGTCAGCAAATTCTGAGGGCCTAACCTTCAAAACATAGCCAGTTTCTGAGATTCTCATCACCATATAACCCTTCTCCCTGTACCTCCATAGTCTGAGTCATTATCAGGTCATATATATCTTAATGACTGCAAGAGTTCTAAGGGGTCTCTTGGCTTCTTCTCTCCCCTCCCACGGTCCATTCTCAGCACAGCAACCCTAGCGATCTCGTTGAATCTAGGCTGACTCAAAACTCTCCAATGCTAACCAGCTCACTCAGATGTAGAGCCAAAGTCTTTACAGTGGCCTATCAGTCACTATATAATGTGGTCCTGTTACTTGTTGGCTGTCATATCCTATTCTCTATCTTGCTCACCTGCTCGAGTTGCACCAACTTTTTTCTGTGCCTTGAATACACCAGGCAAGCACACATCTTGGGACCACTTCATTTGCTCCTCTCTTTAGCTAAAACATCTTCCCGTCAGATATTCACATGGCTCACTACCCTACTTGCCTCAGGTCTTTTAATCAAATGTCATCTTCTTAGTGAGACTTTCCCTGTCCTGTTTAAAATTACAAATTCTCGAACTATCTTCTCTGATTTGTTTTCAATAGCTTATACATGAACAATTTATACACTACATGTTATTATATATTTTAGTAATCATTTTGTTTGCTCCTTTTCACCATCAAAATATAAGATCCACCAGGACAGAGATTTTCGTCTTGTTCATTGCAATATCCCACACCTACCACAGTGCCTGGCACATGAAAGGCATTCAACAGGTATGTTAACTAGTGAACAAGTGAATATGAATAGTGAGACTTGTGAGTTTATGATCCTATGAAGTGTGGCTCCAGCTTCACATAACATACACAATGTCATATACTGCTGTTTTTCTGACCTCCACTAAAATCACAGGTAAAAAATGGCAAACAGATTTTGTTGCTGTTCGTTAACATTTCTTTTACTGTAGATTTAATGTAAAGCTAAATTCTTGGAAAAGAAAGGACAAAGAATCAATACTGAAATCAATACTGAAAAATATAGTTCAATACATTTATGGCTGGCTTGAAAAAAACTGATCTCTTGCCTGGCCGGTGTGGCTCAGTGGTTGAGCATTAACCCATGAACCAAGAGGTTCCCGGTTTGATTCCTGTTCAGGGCACATGCCTAGGTTGAGGTCTCAATCCCCAGTAAGGGTCATGCAGGAGATAGCCGATCAATGATTCAATCTCATCATTGATGTTTCTATCTCTTTCTCCCTTCCTCTCTGAAATCAATAAAAATATATATTTTTTAAAAAAAACTACACTTAAAAGAAAATCTGATCTCTTAGCACTAGGCCTAAAAGAAGGGCCTTTTGCATGAGCAAGGCATGGTCTTTACACATTAAATAAATATGCCCTGAGGGGAATCCTACTAAGGAAGTAATGGGGGGGCGGGGTGAGAAGGGAGAGTCTTCCCCAAAGGGATAAAGCTTCTCCATGGGTTTGAATATTTTGCTGCTCTTCCCTGTTTACTGCTGGTAAGGGCTCTTTACTACTAGAGACTCTTGCTGTCACCTAAGTTCACTGAAGGTGTTACTAATGTTCTTTCCCCTTCCCATCATTTCTGAAGGCCAAGAGATAAACAGAAAGCTAGGTCTGAGAGACCATAGGAGTATTTTAAGTTCACTGCACAATTTTGTTTTGTTTTGTTAATCCACACCCAAGGATATTTTTTCATTGATTTTTAGAGAGAGTGGGAAGGGGAGAGACACAGAGAGAAGCACTGATGTGCAGCTGCCTCTCGAATATACCTCGACCAGGGCCGGGGATAAAGCCTGCAACAGAGGCACATGCCCTTGATCAGAATTGAACCTGAGACACTTCAGTCCTCGGGCTGACTCTATCTACTGAGCCAAACCTGCCAGGGCTCATTGCACAATTTAATAAATATGCCTGAAAATTACCTATGCTACAAAAAGGAATGTAATAACTCCTAAAGTAATCTTTTAAAATATCACCTTGGGGAGATATTACACAATTAAGATGCTTGCCTTACTCAACACAACTCATGTCCACGCACTTTGAGCTCCTCCTTTCCCAATGACTTCATCCCATTAGACCTTCAAATCTACTGTTTTTTAAAAATTTTTAAATTACTGGCATCTTTAGGGTAGAAAAATCTCCAATTAGATTATTTTAAGAGGATAGACTAATGGTTGAAACTATAAAAAACTTGTGAATTAAGCGTGCATAATTATGTGTCTTTTCTCCCAGAGCTTCAGGTATAGGTAGAGAGCTTAAAGGGAGTGAGAGGGCTAGTGGGACTAATCAAGGCTTGGGGATTTGCTGGACAGAGAGATGCTCAGGTAATGAAGTGCCAAGGGAGACAGATGAGGGTGCTTAGTGAGAAAGTAGGGAAGGCAGCTAACCATTGGGTATAAGCCATAGAAGAGAAGAATATGAAGCCAAGAGATGGAGCTGTCAGGAGAATAAAACTTGGGGTCGAGCCATTAAAATGAGTGCTCAGCCTGATCGGGTGTGACTCAGTGGTTGAGTGTCGACCCATGAACCAGTCAGTCACTAGTTTGATTCCTGATCAGGTCACCTGCCTGGGTTGCGAGCTTGGTCCCAGGCAGGGGGCATGTAAGAGGCAGCTGGTCAGTTTCTCTCTCATTGATGTTTCTATCTCCCTCTCCCTTCTCCTCTCTCTAAAAATCAGTGAGAACATATATATATTTTTAAATCTATCTACATAAAAGGCTAATATGCTAAGTGTCGAACCATCCGACCAGCTGCTAATGAAACGGAATTTTTGGACTAGAACACATGGTGTTCCCCTGGGCAGACTGATTCCTGGGCTCTTTGTCCAATGGAGTCAAAGAATGAATCCACGGACTGAAGGTGGTATAGCAAATGTGGAAATTTATTGAAGAACAAGTACAGACTCCCACGTGGAGAAAGGGAAAGAATCTCACAGCACAGACTCCCACGTGGGGAGAGGGCAAGAGTTCCAGAGTTCCTTTTTCCTACAGCTTATAAAGGCTGTCGATCTTTGTGCCTTGATATCCCCTCTGATTGGTCACTATTCCCTTAGACTGGTTACTATAGAACTCCTGAGCTCAAAGGTGTACTTCACATGGGACATGTGAGGTTTTCCTCCCCTCCTTCCTTATTGTTTTCTTATTCCTTTCGGGCTTTCTTCTCCTTTTGGATGAGGGGCCTCCTTCCCTTTATTTTGTAAATATAGACCTGCTATTTCCAGCTCCCTCATTCTATGGAAATGCACCTGTTGCAGCTTTTTAGCTTCCCTATTCTATGGAAATATACCTTCTGCCGCTCTGCAGCCCTGTGCTTTTTCCATGGTCCCCTTAATTTCTAAAATTTCCTAAACCTGTCTTTTTCACCCCCCAAAATTCCTGTTTCACTGTGACACGCACTGACCACCAGGGGGCAGACGCTCAATGCAGGAGCTGCCATGATACGCACTGGCCATTTACAGTGAAACAGCACTGCGGACCTAGAGTCCACAAAGAAGCACTCGGCTTCCCCTAAGTGGGACACAGGCTCCGCCACCATCCCGGAGCAACAGCCCACCAAATCGCAGCCAACACTGCCAAGACCCCCATGTGCAAAATGGGGCCCACAGCCCAGCCCAGCCCAGAAACGGTGGCTGTGGGCGTCGGGTAATGATGGCATGTAGCAATGCCCAACTTCCTCTCCCTAGCGACTGGCCTCCTTACAGTTTCTTCAGCCCAGGAACACGGCTTGCTTTATAGCCAGGTGCAAACATTTCACACTGTAACCAAATGTCTGTGAAGCGTTTCCTCATCTCATTTGGTCCTCACAGAAATCCTGGAGTAGGTAGATAGGAGACTTGGTAGAATCCTATTTTCTTTTCATTAGCCAGAAAACGAAGATTTAGAAAGTTTAGAAACTTGACCCGACTGAAAAGAAGAAATGGTGGGCCTTGAAAATGACTTCAGGTTTTCTCACTGCGCAGAATATAGTCAAACACTGCTACAGTTAAATATTTTATCCTTTGTTCTCCCTGTGTGATCGACAGTAATAATCTGCTTCACGTTGATATTTACTGCTATGTTGCTGACGATTACCTTAAACAGAAGTTGGGGTGCTTCATTGGGCTGAAAAAAGCTTAGCTAAATCAGAAAGCAGGTCTAATTAAGCAAGTTTGTTCTGTATTTACAAAAGGCTAAGTTGACTCACTCATGCGCAATACATGGTGCCAATTGCACACGTGTGTTTCAATCTGTCATTGTCGATCGTGAATTTGGTTGACAATTCTATTATAGAGAAAGGGCAAATAGCGATATTAATATATTTCTTCTAATTAATTTTTTAATGTACATGAATACGTGAACTGGGTCACTAGTTAAATAAATAAAAAATAAAAGGAGTGCTCTATGTGAACTAAAGACCAAGATAGAGAGTTAAAGGAAAAATGCACTGTGCAGAATATGTTAAAACATATCTAACTTTATTTATATATGCTTGTAAGTGTGTGGAAAATGTCAGGAAAGATTAACCAAGAAACTGATGTGAAACTAGAAGGAAGAGACTTAGTCTTCATTTTATATTCTTCTGTACTATTGTTCTTATATAGTGATACATTATTATTACAAACTAGAGGCCCGGTGCACGAAATTCGTGCACTGGGGGGGGGGGGGGGCTCAGCCCAGCCTGCCCCTCTCACAGACTGGGAGCCCTCAGGGGATGTCCTACTGATGGCTTATGCCCGCGCCCCATGGGGAGCAGGCCTTAGCCACAGCTTGGCCTCCTTCTGCGGGAGGTGACCGGGCTGATGAGGGGAAGGCGCCAGCCCCATCACCCCGCTGCTGCTGCAACTGCTGCAGCCGCCAAGGTGTTTTCATCGACATGGACTCCAGTCCCTTCACCATGAAAAAATGACAACTTTCTTTAGGCATTTTCAAGATGTGTCTTTCATAGGATATGACATTTTTCTTTTTTTATCCTCACCTGAGGATATGTTTCCATTGATTCTTAGAGAGCTTGGGAGAGAGAGGGAAAGACAGAGAGAAACATCAACGTGAGGTACACTTTGATCAGTTGCCTCCTGCATGAGCCCTGACCTGGGCCCTGGCTAGGGAGGAGCCTGCAACCTAGGTACATGCCCTTGATCAGAATCAAACCCGACCCTGCGGTCTGCAGGCCGAGGCTCTATCCACTGAGCCAAACCGAGTAGGGCAGGATATGACATTTCTTAGCCCCTCCAGCAGCGGACCTTCGTTTTTTCCTCCAAGAGTGTGGCGGAAAAACCCTAGATCACCTTCTTGGATTCTTATTACCCAAGTTACCAAGAACACTGCGAGTGGTGGTGTACAGGGAGCTTAGCCAATGAGTGGTCAGAAAAGGTGTTTCCTCTGCAGCTCATGCGCAGAGGCCCCCCTGCATTGTGTCTGCTGGGCTGGGGGCGTGCCCTGAGCTGTGCGGCGGCCGCCGGGAGCACACCCCCAGCCCAGCAGCCCCGCATTGTGTCCCTAGCCCTCCTTCCCTCTGCGGCCGGGACACAGGACGCTGGCGTCCTGCCCCAGCTGCTATGGGTGCCGCCATCTTTGTGTTGGAGTGACAGTTAATTTGTATATTACCCTTTTATTAGATTAGACTAGCTTAATTTTTCTAAGAAAGAGAGACCATTATTTTTTGTGCAGCAAGAGAGCAGATGTAAAATGAACACAGGACTGAGCAATATAGAAGGATAATAGACTTAAAAGATACTAGATTTAAAGGATAGAATAATTTTGGGTGATGATGAGTACATATCTTGAAGAGAATATCTTATTGTGCGTAGATTGTTTTAACTGATGTCCTAAAAATATATCAAAGATGATCCAAATATACTTTCAATGGTCAAAACAGAAAGGCTAGCTTCCCAAAAACCCAAAGAAGGAGTCAAAGCCCTGCTATATTTGCTAATAGAGAAAGTCTATGGACACTGAGCCCAAAGAGGGGAAGGAGATATGGAACAGCTGAGGGCTACTTTTCATGACTGATGGCTGGGTTCCAGGTCCCTCTGTAAGGTGAGGCAGGGGTCTGAGCACTGTGCTTCAGGCTGCCACTTTATCATTATAATACTGGTTGTATGAGTGTTTTTTAAGATGAACTTATCCATGACATATCGTGAGAAGGGGAGGGATCCTTCTAAACTGTAACTTTAAGAAACTACGTACTTCTGCCCGGCTGGCAGAGGTTGTTGTTGAGCGTCAACCTATGAACCAGGAGGTCATGGTTCAATTTCCTGTCAGGGCACATGCCTGGGTTGCAGGCTCAAACTCTAGTGGGGGGCATGCAGGAGACAGCCGATCAATAACTATCTCTCATCATTGATGTTTCTATCTCTCTCTCTCCCTCTCCCTTCCTCTCTGAAATCAATAAAAAAAATATTTTTTTAAAAAACACAAGAAACTATTTCTGCATGCAAAAGAGAAATTAATTCCTCTTTAGCTACGTGAGCCAAGTTATCTCAACATTTTCTGTAAGGGAAAAATTTCAATTAAATAACATATAACATTAAATACAAACCTTATATGGTGAAGGTTCAATTCTTTCCCCAAATAACACCTGACCAAGATTTTCAGATGGACGTTTTCCTTCAGATGCTTGACAAAAATCAAACCTGGGGGAAAGAATATTTAAGTTTTTAAACACAAAAGGAAACAGTGAAATAAAGATTAGGGGCTGATCATTGTAGCATTCTAATAGATGAGTAAGAAATATATTCATACTCCAAGTTCCATGTACCACATCACCCCAAAACAAAACAAAAAAAGCCCAACACCTAAAAATTATACCTTAGAATGCTTTGGTTTTTAAATATTTACACTGAGATGTAAATTATAAAATTTTTATAACACATTGTATTTTTTTCATTCCAATGATAAAGTGATTTATTATATCCTTATTCTTCAAGTGAATTTTACATAATTTATCTCCTTTTGTTTTAACTTTCTAATCTAAATCTTTACTTAATAATGACATTTCCGGAAGATGAGTCAATTTTCCTTGGGTTTCTGCCTCATCCTGATATACTGGCCAACATATTCCAAATCTGAGAAGCATGACTGGAGAGACCCTATGGGAATGGAGTCAGCTGTAAGCTTCTCTCTGTGTTGTAATTCCTTTGTATTACTAACCAGATTTTAATAAAGTTTTATTTAAACATTACAGCCTACTTTCAACTTTGCTATTAAAAAACTAAGAGACAGCCCTGACCAGTTTGATTCCAGTCAAGGGCATGTACCTCGATTGCAGGCTCCATCCCAGGCCCCCGTCGTGCTGTGTGTAGGAGGCAACCAATTGATGTGTCTCTCTTACATTGATGTTACTGTCTCTCCACTTTCCTTCCACTCTCTCTAAAAAATCAATGGAAAAATATCCTCAGGTGAGGATTAACAAAAAACCAAACAAACAGAAAACAACAACAAAAAAAACAACTAAGAGACAATTCTGTGTTCACACTGGAATGATATGGAAGTACTTAAGATTAGCACAGCGATGGCTACAAATCAGTTAGATTCCTAAGAGGAAGATGAATCTCAGGTGATAAAAAAACTGGGACTGGGAAAGCCCAAAATGAAGACTCTCCATCTACTAGATTAAGAGATCCATTGAGTTTTCCCAAAAACATTCACAAAGATTTAACGAGAGATGTTTGTTTATATAATAAATAGAAAAAGCATTCAATTTTCCAATAGTTTACTATAAATTATGGTTCATCTATTCATGAATGTTGTACTCTCTTCTCATACATATTTAAGAACATGAATTCTTATAGGATACTCTTACTTTTTTGTGTGTGAATTTTTTCCTAAACGCATTTTTTTCCTCCAAAAACTCTTAGATACCAGAGAAATTTAGAAGCCAACTAAAATTTAAGAACTATGTTCTACACCAAATGGGGTATAAAGTGGTCAAATGCATAAAGGGTATTATGCAGCGTTTTAATAATATTAAAAAATGGAAATAACCAAATGTTCAGAAACAGAAAATTAGTGAAACAAATCATACATGGACACAAATCTCCACAAAGGAATAACGAACACCCACTAAAAATACTGAGGTAAGCCTAACCGGTTTGGTTCAGTGGATAGAGCGTTGGTCTGCGGACTGAAGGGTCCCAGGTTCGATCCCGGTCAAGGGCATGTACCTTGGTTGCGAACACATTCCCAGTAGGGGATATGCAGGAGGCAGCTGATTGTGATTGATGTTTCTCTGTCATCAATGTTTCTAACTCTCTATCCCTCTCCCTTCCTCTCTGTAAAAAAAATCAATAAAATATATTTTTTAAAAAATACTGAGGTAGTTGCGTATTAACACGAAAAGATGCCCAAAAAGATTCAGTGAGAAAACCAAGGTGCAAACAGGTATAATAGTATGAACCTATTTTGTTTAAAATGTATAAATGTGGTTATATAAGTTAGACTATGCAGAGGAAAAAATGTGGAGGAGCAGACATTAAAGTAAGTATTTCTGGGGACTGATTATGTGGCATATAGGATTTTGTTTAAAAATGGGAGGGGAGGCATTATTAAAAAACTTAGAACAAAATGGCTCCTTGCCCAGTCAGATGAAAAAGGAAATCCCTTGTTTTAGTTTCTGCTCCTATTGTATTGCAGTGACATAAAAAACACATTTTACATTTTAATAATAAAGACTACCCATTTAAAAATGTTTTCAGGCCCTATACATTTTTAAAAGCATGTAAATTTATAGACATCTGTTTATTTAACAATGTGTTTCCTATATCTGTGGAGAAAATAAAATTCTAAATGCACAAAATTCTGATGGGTCACATAAAATTTTATATAAAAAACAAGCTGAAAACTTACGCCGTATATTCATAAGGAAGAACAGATTCCACCGAGTCAAGCCTGTTCACGAATAGCTCTATGTCAGCCTGAAAATAAGGAAACACAGAATTAGAATATAAACAACTGGAAATCAAACTTAAGTCATGCTTAGAATTTAAAATGAATTTGACATATATAAAATGTGAAATTTCATTATATCAACCCACTGTAACAATTCTCTTATAAAACCATTCACTAAGTGGGACTTATATACATTTAAATTACACCAAAATAATTCTTAGAGGTGCAAATGTAGCCAATATTTTCCAAATGTCTTTTAAGTTCTAAAATTTTTTAAAAAATAAGCATTTAAACTAAATCATTCACCACATCAATATAGTTTTTTAAAAACCTGATTTGCAAACTCAGTATTTCATTCTGCAGCACAAAAAATATTTTTTGTTTTAAAACATTCTCATTGCAATCAAGACATGCTATCAAGTTGTTAAGAAATTTCTAGATCAGCTATACCAGAAATAGAATCCCATGCACTTGTGTAATAGTAAACAAACAGAAGATGGACAATGACAACATGGGCTAACTTTGGAGGGCTGCTTCGATCACTTTGAGAATGCTGAACTATGTGGTAGTAACAGCAAAGAAAATTACAAGATGAGATCAAGTTCAACAATGGGGGAGGGAAAGAAAAGCTGTATCAGTTTCCTAGGAAATATGGGCTAATTTAAAGCTACATATTCTTACCAAAGCTCCCAAAATTTCTCCAAAGTATATTTCAGGTTCTTTTTCCCATAGAACCCAAAACACATACCCACTCTCTTAGCATGAATTCATTGCTATACATGACAGAATTCTTTAGTTGAAAAAGCAAGTAAGCAATTGGTGTGCTAACCAAAAACAACTTAATAAGGAGTTATTTACTTGGGACAAGCTATTTTTATAGTTAGCCCGCTATGGCTGCCTCTGGAGTCCGTGATCATGAAGCTCCCTGCAATGGCATAAAGCCACATTTGTCATTTTAATCTCATTCACTCGTGTTGTCAGCCCATCCTCTATACTTGCTAACATCCTAAAGCAAGACAAGATGTTTGATGTACAACAAACAAACAATACATTGCCATGGGAAAAGCAGCAAAACGTAAGAGGCAAGAGTACAGACTCTGGAGCCAGTTTTGCCTGGTTTCAAATTCTACTTGTGCAACTTCGGTCAAGTTATTTAACAATGTGTTTCCTCATGGGTGCTTCAGTTTCCTTATTTACAAAATGGGGATAACAGTATTTACCTCATATGAGGTATTGATGAGTTAACATTTATAAAGTACAAAACAAATAAATAAAATAATTATGATATTCAGAATCGGGAATATCTAAACTACACTGCTTATCCACTAAAATGTTCATTCAATATTCATGTTGTAAGATGGAAGACATTAGTCTTTATATAGTACTGAAAATAGTGTCATAAGCAACTCCTAAATTTCTACTCAAATGAAATTACAATTCAATGGCAACACCATCTCAAACACACAAAGAAAATGTGTCTCTGCATAAAACAGTCAAGGCCTTCTCATTGGTCATTTTAGCTAAAAAAAAAAAAATTACAACATGCATGAATACACAAATATATTAACTGTTGTGAAGGCCAAATTCCAGTTGATGGCTTACTCTGAAAAAATAATGTTCACTAATTATAATTTTCACTGCTATGAAGATACATCAGAATCCAAATGCTCATACACACACACACACACACACACACACACACACACACACATACACACACACATTATGGACCCTTTTTTTGTTGTTCAGTGAACTAATCAAAACACCTTGGATATTCAGTTTATCATGACTATTTTTATAGCATTTTCATTCATTCTTTCTTTTTTAAATTGTAAAAATCTGAAAATTTAAGGATTATCATCTTCTTTAAAACATGCGAAGAAATGTAAATTAAAAGTAATAATATCTTTAACATAAAATAGAGCAATTTGCAACATTTGTAAATATACTACATCTACAATACTGTTTTAATTACTGATCCTTATAGTGAAACAAGAAAATTTGAAAAGTAGTAAGAATGTGATCCTTGCAATATGGCAATAGAGCAAATGTTAAAAACTGACAGGAAGGAGAAAGAAAATGAGACACTAGTGAGTTTATGTGGTTTCAATGAAAGGCAAAAGTATGCTATAGACATCATGACATTCATCCCTAAAAAATATAAATACAGCCTTGGCAGGGTGGGTCAGTTGGTTGGAGCATCTTCCCAAACACCAAATGGCTGCAGGTTCAATTCCTGGACAGGGCATTTACGAGAGGCAACCAATCGATGTTTCTCTCTCACATCAATGTCTGTCTCTCTCTCCTCCCTCCCTACTTTCCTCTCTCTCTAGAAATCAATTAAAAAGAAAACACATCCTCAAATGAGGATTAAAATATAAATGCACACACAGATAAAACAAATAGGGAAAAAATATAAACAGCTGTTAACTCTAGGGGCCTTGGTGGATATACAGGTCATTATACTATCCTTTCAGCATTTTTGAATTTTGAAAATTGTCACAATTAAGAGTTGGAAAAAGAAAAGGCTTTAAAGTTGAGAGCAGACTTTTAGTCTTATTGTCAAGCAACTAGTGGCCTGGTGCATGAAATTCATGCACATTAAAAGGGGATTAATTAGAGGAAATATTTTAATATTGCTATTTGCCCTTTCTCTATAATAGAAGTGTCAGAGATGAAAGAAAATTAGTAAAATGTATATGAAAATCTCCCTTCTGTCAGAGTCTGGGATGCACCACGGGACCCAGAGTCAAGTCCCTGCCCACCTGCACGTGCCTTGAAATTACGCAAGACCCAGTCCCAGCTGGCCCCACCTCCGTCAAGTCCCGCAGAGCGGAAGGCGCAGCCTCAGGTCCCCTGGCCCCAGGGAGGTGGCCTCTACTTGCCTTCGAAGAATTTATAATCCAGATGGGGAAACAAGGCATACACTCAAGAAAGTAAAAGTGACAAAGTTATTTATATGTTCTTAGGGGCACTCATGGAATCTCTACAGGATTTAATTTTCTTATCATTAAAATAGCAATGTACTATGAGAGGACAATATTTGATTAATTTTAAGGTCACTTTTCTCTCTAAACTTCTTTATTCCTCATCCAAAAGTTAATTAAGTGCCTCTCCTTCTGGAAATTTGCCTTAAATAGAGAGGGCCAACTCCAAAATATTACTGACATAACTTACAAGAGCCTTACAGGGTACTTAATTACTTCACTCCTGCTTTCAAAATGTCCCCAAAGGAGTTATTACAAGCATAAAAAGTTGTTACATTAAACATTTTAAGGAAGTTACAGATAAACCCTAAATCAAGACTGTAAATTCTAAAGAAATACTTAGAAAGACTGATTACATAATCAACCATAAAAACTTTTTAAAAGAAATAGTTTAATTTAGAGTTCTATGGTCTCCCTTCTAAATCAAACTTACCACACACACACACACACACACACACACACACACACACAAACACACTCATAGACAGACATCAACATGGTGATTACCAGAGGGTAAAGGGGGTGGGAGGAAGGAGAAGAGGGTATAAGGGAGTATAAATAGTGATAAAAGGAGACTTGGCTTGGGGTGGTGAACACACAATACAATAAATAGTTGATGTGTTTTTTAAATGTTTTAAACACCATCACATAGATACTAAGCTGATAAATAAAAATTTTAAAATATTGTGGAGACATGAAATCATTTAGCTAATGGCATTGGTAAAGCAAACTCATCTCTCTTGAAAGAACCCTGGTAATATTAAACAGAGCTATAAAATTGCTTCTAGCTTTGAACTAGTAATTTTATATTTGGGAATATGCAAGTAATTCCTGCTAAATACATTCTAGCAAAGCTATTTAGTTATTTATTATTATTATTTTTTATTATATTTTATTGATTTGTTTTTACAGAGAGGAAGGGAGAGGGATAGAGAGTTAGAAACATCGATGAGAGAGAAACATGGATCAGCTGCCTCCTGCACACCCCCTACTGAGGATGTGCCTGCAACCAAGGTACATGCCCTTGACTGGAATCGAACCTGGGACCTTTCAGTCCATAAGCCGATGCTCTATCCACTGAGCCAAACCAGTTAGGGCTCTAGCAAAGCTATTTAAATCTAAATGCCCTGCAAGCAAGAAATGGTTAAGCAAACCATAGTATAGTAATAGAATGAAATACTATCTATAGTAATAAAAGTGAAATATGCTAATTAGACCAGACGACCTTCAACCTTCTGGACAAAGCCAGGGCTGCGAGAGAAGCCCAGGTCCCTGGTGCTAGAGGGAAGCCAGTGCTGGCAGCCGGGGGAAGGAAGGCCTACCCTTGCACGAATTTCATGCATCAGTCCTCTAGTATCTATAATAAGGGTAATATGCTACTTAGACCGGATGTCTTCCAGACGTCATCCCAGACATCATTCCTGACAAAGCTGGGGTTGGGGGGAAGCCAGCCTGGGTCCTGGATGCCTGCGGGCCACCGGGGGAAACCAGCTCAGGTCCCAGGTGTCTGCTGATGGCTGGAGGAGGGAAGCCCGGGTCCCAGGTGCCGGAGGGTAGCCGGTGCCAGCAGCCACGGGAAGAAAGGTCTACTCTTGCATGAATTTTCATGCATCAGGCCTCTAGCCTATCTAATAATAGATAAACATGGTAATTGACTGCACCTTCGCTATGCCTCCCATTGGCTAATCAGCACAATATGCAAATTAACCACCAACAAAGATGGTGGTTAATTTGCATACTGCAGGCAGGGCAGGACAGCATGAACCGCCAGTGCACTGCCATCCAGGGCAAGCCGGTCGCCCGGGACCCCATCGGTGGTCCCGGATGGCAAGGCAGGCCCACCCCAGAAGCCACCTGGTACGGCAGTAACTCTATCAGTAAGCACTCTGAAAATCAGTGGCATAAATGCACCAATTAAAAGACAGATTATGAGGATGAATCAAAATATACACTTTAAATATAAAGACACCTATAGATTAAAAGTAAATGAATTAAGCTGCAGCCTGTTTTTCTCAGTGTATAGAGCATTAGCCCATGGACTGAAGGGTCCCAGGTTCAATCCCAGTCAAGGGGATGTACCTCAGTTGCTGGCTTGATCCTCAGTCCCTATCAGAGCATGTGCCGGAGGCAACCAATCAATGTGCCTCTCACTTTCCCTTCACTCTCTCTAAAATTCAATGGACATTTTCA